GGTAGGCGAGGAACGGGGGGCGGAGGCGGGCCAGCCGAGGGGAACAGATGAGGCTGCCCCCTCGCCATCAGCGCCCAGCGGGGGCAACTTACCAGGGATCGAGCAAAGGGGGGAAGAACCAATTTACGTGAAGGTAGTGAGGGCTAAGCAAGAAACGGTAAATCTGTCGGATATCCTCAAGGCAAAGGAGGTGTATGTTTGCCCCCTGGTGCTGTGGTGGTCCCCAACGGGTGTTAAGTTGCTCATCCAAGGCAAGGCACAGGCGCCGGTATACAAAGTGTCCGCCCTACCGCAGGTTCAAGAGGCGATAGAGGTCACCCAGCGATGGGTGGGAGGGCAGTACGATGCGGTCGAGATCCCGCATATCTCGGCGTCCAGGTTTATCCAGCAGTCGGAGTCAGCGGCAGATTACGCCATCATGACGTTCTTTGTGGCGGCATTGGCCAAGAGACCGGGAGTGCCTCGATTGCGGCTGCGAAAGGCACAGTGGGTAGACTTCCAAGAGCTCAAAGGCCCCGAGGGGCGCCTGCGGGAAATTCATGTGGCACACCAAGCTTCATTGGGAATCCTGGATGGTATTGAAGATAAGCTGCCAACGGACGAGCGGTTTGATTCGCAGCACKTTGCGGATGGGCAGGGGATATGGGCGAAGGCGGAGTAGAGTAGTAGCGGGAGTTATTTTTCTACGGGGCGTTACCGGGTGAGGTGATGCCCCCCCCCAGCGCAATAAACAGATGGGCGACTTAGCRAGGCGTAGGGTAGTAGGGAAGGACGTAGAATGGTAGGAAATAGACGGGCGAGACGACTCAAAATTMTGACCTGGAACGTAAGGGGCTTGGGGGCCAGATCCCTTCTCCCCAAGAGGAGAGAGCTGCAGCAGAGGGTGGAGCAAGACCAAATCGATGTCGAYTGTATCCAGGAAACCAAGTTGGACCAGTCAAAGATCTCCGCGCCAAAGATCTGGTGGAAAGGACACCAAGTATGGGCGCCAGCCCAGGGCACGCGGGGGGGCGTTGCAGTATTGGTCTCCCCGCACTTTCGAGGTACGATCAGAGACTGGTTCTTCGACACCCAAGGGAGATGGGCCTGGGTACTGCTGCAAGGGGAGGAAGAAACATGGGGTGTGGTCTCGGTGTATGGACCACCGGAGATAGGCGAGCGAAGGAGGCTGTGGGAGCAGTTGGCTGCCCTCACCCCGCAAGTAGAGAAGATCGTTATCGCCTGGGACTTTAATACCATAAGTGTGCCAGGGCTGGATGCGGCCGCTGCACGGCGGGAAGAGGCGGATTCAGTGGCCCTGCACACGAGCATGGCGCAGCTCGGATGCAGCGACTCATTTCGCAGCCTACACCCAGACTCCCGGGAGTACACCTTTTGCGGCACAACTCCGCTGCGACGAAGCCGCATCGACATGATTTGGGCATCCGCGCAGATGAATCAGCGATGCGAAGACGGTCGAATGGTGGCCATGGCAACATCCGACCATGCGGCGGTAATCTCCACATACGCGATAGGACGGATGGAAATGGGGAGACCCCCTGCGTGGGTATTTGCCAGTCCCGAGTACCGGCCGGTGGTGCTGCGCTTCTGGGAGGAGTGGGTGGATACCTCCCCCCAAGAGGACCGACTGATGCACGTAATGGAGGCGCTGGCAGATTTAAAGGCGTTGCTGCTGGCCCAAGTACGGCTGCAGCACATGGCGCACCAGCGCACGGGGTAGGAGTTCGTAGAGCGCCTGCAGGCCTTGGACGGGGGACGGGGGGAGATGGAAGAGAACGAGTGGTGGGCTGAGCGAATGGAAACAGTGCGCCAATGGAGAGAGTGGCAGATTGAGGAGGCGGAACGATGGGGGCGCCGCACTAAAGAAGCCTGGGTTTTGGTGGGAGAAAAGATGGCGAGGCGTTTCTTTGCGGAACTCARAAAAAAGAAGGCCTCACTGAYAATGACTGCAATGACGCATCCATATGACTCGCAGATCGGGAGGCAGGACACTAYGCGAGGCATCTTGAAATGCGTAACGGACTTCTACAGGGACCTGSTGACGGAAGAAGAAGTCTGGACCCCGGAGGACATGGCAACACAACCGGAGAAGGACCTGTGGCAATATGCAGGGCCCAAACTGGACCTGGCAAGCAGCTGCGAACTTKAGCAGGACATCACCCAAGAAGAGGTGGAGCAGGCAATCAGCGACCTTCCCAGGCTGAAGTCGCCGGGCCTCGACGGCATTCCCATCGAGCTTTTCAAAGAATTTTGAATTTTTTTTGGCATCTTGCTCACGGAAACCTATAATGAAGCACTGCAGCATGACACACTGCCCAAGGGCTTCGCCGACGCGTACGTGGTCCTGCTGTATAAGAAAGGCCCGAAGGAGGACGTTCGGAACTGGAGGCCCGTCTCTATCCTAAATACAGTTTACAAGGTGTTGGCCAAAGTGATGTCCACCAGGTTCGGCAAACTGCTGTCGGCGCTCATCCACCCCTCCCAAACAGGCTTTGTACCGGGACGCCAAATAGTGACCAGCATCCTGCTGGCCCAGCAAGTATTAGAGGAGGAGGAGGTCTCTGGCCAACCGCTCGCCTTCGTTTCAATCGACCTTCAAAAGGCATATGACCGAGTGCGTTGGGAGTTCCTGCTGCAGGCCATGGCTTGGAGAGGTATTGGAGTGATTTTCCGGAGCTGGGTTAAATGCCTCCTGAAAGAGGCGGCCACGGTCATGCAGGTGAATGGGGTTCAAGGCTGCCCACTATCGCCAGCACTATACGTTATCTATATTGAAGCACTGCATGACCTGCTGAGAGGCGACTGYAGACTGCACGGGCTCCAGCTTCAGCAAGGGGGGGAGGTGCAGYCGTYGGCATTTGCGGAYGACACGGGAGCCATTATCCCGCCGACAATTCAGCAACTGCAGGTTCTGCAAGCAGATCTGGCGACGTTCTGCAGGTACTCTGGGGCACGGGTGAATTGGGACAAATCCCAAGCCATCCTCCCCCCCGGTAKGGAGCCASCRGAAGGCTGGGACATCCCCACGGTGGGCGACGAGAGGATGCACTTTCTTGGGGCCAACCTAACCCCCAGCTGGGGGGGAGTGGAGCAGATGGCAGTACAGGCAGTGGCTGCGGTGGCCAARCTGAGTGCATGGAGTGGAGCGGTGCATGTGGGGGTTTTCGGAAAGGCACTAATAATMAAAAACTCGGTACTTGCTACCCTGTGGTATGCAGGCGCCATCCACATGCCGGGCAGAAGAACGTTTGCATATCTACGGCAAGCGATCCAGGCGTACCTATGGTCCAACAATGCGGACACACGGGACTCCATCTGTAGGGTGGCATGGCCAAAGTTAGTGCAGCCAAGGAGTGAAGGAGGGCTGGGCCTGCTGGAACCACGATTGCAGATGATGGCGTTGCAAATGAGACACCTGGTCTGGTATCTGCTGCGAACGGCTGGGGAACAGTGGCATATGCTTGCTAGCCAACATCTGGCATATGCACTGCAGTTGCCCCCGGCACTGGTGGAGGTTAGCCTCGCCAGTTCAGGCCTCATGGGCCACGTAAAACGGGGCACAGTTTGGTCCACCCCGTTGAGTGTGTGGCGGAAGGTGGGGCTGGTCAACAGTGAACCCACCACGGCGGATGCAGTCTATAACCAGGTGCTGTTCGAGAACCGCTTCATCTGCGACGTGAGCGGGGACAGCCTCCCATGGCAGGGGAAATCGGGCGCATTCGRTCGCCAAKGGGCCGAGCTTGGGGTATATAAAGTTGGCCACCTGTGGGATGAGGAGCTGCGGGACTGGAAAGACGGACGCCGCGATGGCAAGGTGCCTCCCCCACCAGGTGCAAAGGAGCCAAAGACTGCGGGAGGTCAGGGACGCCATCCCCACCCAGTGGATAGATCGGCTCAGAGAGGGCAAAATCTGCAGGGGGGAGTGAGTAAAGCTCAAAGGCGAGGCACGCCCAGCCAGGATCTACAAAGTGGAGGTGGAGCAGGGGGAGTCACTGGTGGTCACCATGTGGAACGTGACGACAGGATATCAAGGCTTGGGGGACCCGGTGGTTGCGGGTGGACGGGAGGGGGTGATTCAGAAAAGTATGACGGAGACAGTCTCAGTGGGGCAGAGGAGCAAACCTACGAAGGAGTCTATGCTCCCCTATAGATTGGCCGTACGAAGGCGCGACTTATCCTGGGATCCTCAGGACTGGACATGGCCAAGACAGAATCACCTGAGAACCAAGACCCCCCTACAGACAACGRCAACAAAGCAAATTTTCAGGTCTCTCCTCCCAGTAGTGGACATATGGGAAGAACTCCGAAATCGGTGGGCCAAACGGTGCTGGCTCCCTCCCGCCCGGTTGGAGCAGTGGACCAGAAAGAAGTGGAAATGCCAATGTGCCCTCTGGAAGGCATTGCCAGACCAAAAGCATGCGGGTCGACTTTGGTTAATCGCACATTTGGCGATCCCAACGGCGGAGTGGCAGGCATCGAAGAGCCAGTACCGCGAAACCGCCTGTGCGGCGGGCTGCGGGGAACCGGAGACGCTCATTCACCTTTTTGTGCAATGCCCGGTGGTGCAGCGGCTGTGGGAGTGGTGGGCAGAAATCGCGAATGGGACTCCGCTGCAAGTTGCAGAGGACAGCTCAACTGAGATTCTCTTGGGGGCAGTTATAGGGCCGCATCAGGGGGGACTGGGCCAACTGTTGGCGGCAGAAACCCTCAGAGCGGAACTGCTGTGGACTATTAGGACGGCACGGAACGAGCGAATCCGGCAGGGGGCGCAGTTTAGGACAGAAGTTCTCAAACGGCGGGCCAAGGAAAATCTCTGGGCAGCGATATCTAGCGACATGGCACGCTGCACGAAAGGTGCCACTGACGGGGAAGCAAAGTTCTGGGCTCGATGGGCGCCATATGAACTCCTCGTAGCCAGAGGGGATAGCCCCGGCCGGGTGACATTTGGTCCGGCCCTGCAACTAGTAGATTCCAGTCAGAATGAATGAGCTGTGTATTATAGTTAGGTAGAGAGGCTAGGGTAGGGGGGGGTAGTGTATAGTAATAGGGAGAAGGGAAATTTGCACATGTRTGAAAAGCTGGGGAAATTTGGATATGGTGCATGGAAGGGGGAAGCTGGAGCTAGGTAGGGCTGTAACGTTGGGGTCTAAACTACTCAAACTCGGTAGGGAAGCGTGGTTTCGAGGGAAGAGGGGCA